TATGCTCTTCAACCAGTAATGAGCAATATAAGACACATAGGGTGGAACTTAATAGACAGGCATCATGTCCTGTAAAATAGATTCCACCCATGGACAACAAAGAGTACATAAGATGTCCACATATGTAATGTGCATGAGCATGTGACACAATGATAGTTGGATTTCCAAAAGGTGCCTGTAAGCTGATATAAGAAAACGTGGCTAGGGTTAAAGTACCAAATATGAATAGGCCAAGTATGATCCGCCTGGGCAAAAAATACCCAGGAGAAGCACCTTTGGATATTACAGATTATACCAAGTGCAGTCCATGGGCAAAAAAACAATGGAAGCACTTTGCATAAGCTTATAAGATCAACAAGTGCGGTCCGCCTGGGCAAAAAAACATTCAGGGAAGCACCTTGGATAATATGGAGTATATAAAGTGCAGTCCATCCAGGCAGAAAACATCCAGTGGAAGCACCTTGCATAAGATAGTGTGTTTCATATCTTGTACGAAAGGTATTGAGAGATCAGCAATTGCAATCTGCCTGGGCAAAAACATCCAGAGGAGGAACCTTGTGTTAGTATTGAGTATAGCAAGAGCGATCCATCTGGGCTAAAAACATCTAGTGCAAGCGCTTTGTATAAAACAAATTAGCATACCTCACCAGGTGAAACCCGCCACCAGATGGGATTCTGAAATATGATGTATATCAACGAAATAAGATAAAAAATAATAATATGATGACTTACCCCAGTCAAAGGCGAACAACATGTGTAAAATTGTCACAGGAGGAAGACGTTACCCACCCGAGGAAGACACAGCTATGTTGAGCAGAGAAAGAGTGACACATGTATTAGGAGTTGTTTACATACCAGCCTGAATGATCTCCTCCAAAAGACAGCGGTTTCAAATAGCTAAAGACTTAGTGAGATGATAAATATGGGGCGTAGAAACAGTACGTAGACAGCAACCTGCCATGGACATGTCCAAATACTCCAGTCATATGAGTTGACAAACCCAACCAGTGAGTGTAATAGGTGAAAGATCACAGGAAACAGAGGAATGCCATGGAACAATTAGACAGGAATGAGAACCACAAAAGGAGGCAGTATGAGCCAAATAACATAGCAGGGAATGAACTGGACAAAGGAGATGATCCAAATCTGATGGGGGTATACAGTTGGGAAAAAGAAGGTACGGAAAAAGGAATAACATATAAGGAATGGTAATGGTAAAGGATGGCATAAATATTGGAATGACAATGACCACATACCAGGAGGGGGAGGAATTAGGTCTTAAGGGGAAAATGGTACAAGGAACAAATTGCAATGGGTTCAAAGGGAGAACCAAACAGGGCATAAAGAACAACATTGAGATCCCAATCTGGCAGAACAAAGGAACATGGCAGATGGACCACACGAAAGGAATGGAAAACGAGTGAAAAACTGGGGAAGAGAAGACTTACCACAAGTGGGAGAAAGGAAGGCGTTCGACAGGGAAGCCCTATAAAGAGCAACAGTTGAAACAGACAAACAATGACAACAAGGTTGAATGTACTTCTTACCATGAACTTACACTGGCAACAAGGTTGAATGTACTTCTTACCTTACCATGTACTTTCACACTAATAGCAAGGTTGAATGTACTTCTTACCATGTACTTGCACACTGACAACAAGGATGAATGTACTTCTTGCCATGTACTTTCACACTAATAGCAAGGTTGAAAGTAGTTCTCACCATGTACTTGCACACTGACAGCAAGGTTGAATGTACTTAAAACCATGTACTTATACTGACAACAAGGTTGACTGTACTTCTTACCATGTATTTACACACTGACAGTGAGGTTGCATGTACTTCTGACCATGTACTTACACACTGACAGTGAGGTTGCATGTACTTCTTACCATGTACTTACATACTGACAGCAAGGTTGAATGTACTTCTTACCATGTATTTACACACTAACATCAAGGTTGACTGTACTTCTTACCATGTATTTACACACTGACAGCGAGGTTGCATGTACTTCTTACCATGTATTTACACACTGACAGCGAGGTTGCATGTACTTCTTACCATGTACTTACACACTGACAGCAAGGTTGCATGTACTTCTTACCATGTATTTACACACTAACAGCAAGGTTGAATGTACTTCTTACCATGTACTTACACACTGACAACAAGGTACTTATTAGTAACTTGAAACATCCTTAAGGACCTAGTGTTTAAAAGTATAATAGGCCTAATGCCTTATGACTGTTATTTATAATCATACTTTGACTGTTTATAAAAGGCATTCACACCATAACAAAAGTTGTTACATCACTGATTTTTGGGAAGAGAGAAACAGACTGATGTCGTGCACAAACCTGACATCGGTGAAAATGGCAACTGAGTGCCCACTAGTCCTGAAAGACCATTTCCCACAGGATGTCTTGGAGGAATAAGTGTGCTGCCACTGCCGATACCAAAACCCAGAAGAGGCTTTTCAGTTGCTCCATTTACCAACTAAACAGTGAAAAGAAATAAAAAAAGGTCATATTCTTGTGGTCAATGGTTTTTTTAATTAGTTTCATTTTTGTACCACATTACAGTCATAAAAACTAAATTACTTCCTTTTTAAGGATACACCCTTTAAATGTCAAAAATATCAATTATTTCTTGCATAAAACTAAATTACTTCCTTTTTAAGGAAGCATACACCCTTTAAATGTCAAAAATATCAATTATTTTATTGCATAAAACTAAATTACTTCCTTTTTAAGGAAGCATACACCCTTTAAATGTC